TAAGCTCGGTAATGAAATGTGAAGGTGAATTAATCAACATGACACGAGCGTGGGACAAGGAAAAATTCTGAGTCCCCGAGAGGAATCGAACCCATGACCTCCCGAACACCGGGCGGGCGCTCTATCTATGGATGTTCGGTAGTTCATGGGCTCGATTCCTGTCGGGGACTCAGAATTTTTCTTTGTCCCACGCTCGTGTCATGTTGATTAATTCACCTTCACAACAATGAAGTTATTGTTCATTGTTATTGTAACAGCTCTGAAAGCAAAATGTTCCCGAGGGTGCGAATAAATGACTGCTGGTAGGTTTTACTTCTCTGAGCTCAAACCCTTGATTAAAAGTAAATATTCCCATCCCATTGTAAAGACGACTTTAATCAAGTTTGGACGCCACATGCCCTCTTTTTGCACTCCCCAGTTCCTTTGTCACCCCTAACCCAGTCAAATCAAACAGGGTTACCATTTACTATATTCTTACAAGTGCAAGTTTTTCCATCTCCGATAAATCCAGCTTTACAAGAACAACGATAAGGGCCCTGGGTATTCTGACACCGGGCATTCACGTCACACATGGATAGAGGATCACTGCACTCGTTGACGTTTTAGAATAAAATGAAAGAATTAGGAAATCTCAGCATTAACCTAAACTAAGCTACTGGAGACTGGGTTATTAGTTCACTGTAGATGCCATTTTATTATTTGGTTGTGTGACTGCGCGAAGCGGTTCGAGTCAAAGACCAACATCTCACCCTTGCTCACCAGTGGCTCAGTAGTTGGAGCATCCGGCTAGATCACGAAGGGTCTTGGATTTCTTCCGAGTTTTCAGTTGATGCTAATTCCATCATTTAATATTCTTACAAATATGAACTAATTGATCAGGTCAATAGGTAGCGGGGAAAAGAAATCTATTACATGTATATGATACCGAAAGTGTATAGAGGATTAAGAAAGACTTAATTCTAAAGTATAATTAATGCGCTCGTAACAAATATGTCTTTTTATCGAAGCGTTCGCTAGGTTGAGAATTTGGTTATTGCGCTACCCAATTAAACTTATCGTTTCGTCGCATTTTAGCAAAACTTATTATTTCAATAAAGTTCGAACACTTCTGGTATTAAAAATAGCCTCCAGGCAGCTATGTTTACCGCAGACAAATAGCTCATTTCCATTCAATCTCGTTCCCAGACTCTTCGTTCCCCTTGACCAGCGGTCGGAAAACGAGAGCTCTGGGAGCGACCATTTTGAAATAACAAAGGAAATAACCGAATTCTGCCCATCCGGTTTCACTGCGCAGTCTGCATCTATGGCGCATGCTTGAAATGGTTGCTCCCAGAGCTCTCGTTTTCCGACCGCTGGTCAAGGGGAACAAAGACTCTGGGAACGAAATTGGTTTCCACTGCGTTTGTTTGAGTCACAGGGAAAGTTTCATTTTGGGTCAAATTTGTTAAAATTTTGAGGCACATATTTGAAATTCAGCTTTATACCTGGCATCTGTTGTCTGATAAAAACCGCTGTTTCAGCCAATCAGAGCGCGCGTTATATGGAAACTATATTATAATTCAAGATGAATAAATAAATACATAAGTTTAGTTCAATGGTTCATGTCATAGTGTTAATTACGATGACTCAGTTAAGGTGAAAACAGAAGCATGCCAAAACATTAGGAGACACGTACCACTGCAATGTCTGCCATCTCCAGAATATCCAGCTTTACATGTGCAATTGTGAGATCCATGCGTGTTACTGCACACAGCATTCACGTCACAGCCGTGAGAGTTTGTGGAGCATTCGTCGACGTCTAAAAAAGAGTTAAAGGACTAAATATCGAACTTAAGTGTTACTTTAGTACAGTTTTAACACTTCTGTTGTTGTGTTTTTAACAATGGCCTCCAGGCAGCTATGTTTATCGCAGAGAAATAGCTCGTTTCCATTAGACTAAATTTGAAATTCAGCTTACCTTGGGTCTGTTCTCTGATAGAGCCGCTGTTTCCGTCAATCAGAGCGCGCGTTATATGGAAACTTTGTTACAGTTTAAGATTAATACATAAAGATAAGTTTAGTTCAATGGTTCATGTCATAGTTCATGTCATGTCGTTTTCATTGCGTTTGTTTGAGTCACAGGGAAAGTTTCATTTTGGGTCAAATTTGTTAAAATTTTGAGACACATATTTGAAATTCAGCTTTTTACCTGCCATCTGTTGTCTGATAAAAACCGCTGTTTCAGCCAATCAGAGGGCACGTTATATGCAAACGATATTATAATTTAAGATAAATGCATAAATACGTAAGCTTAGTTCAATGGTTCATGTCATAGTGTTAATTACGATGACTCAGTTAAGATGACAACAGAAGCATGCCAAAACATTAGGAGAAACGTACCACTGCAATTTCTGCCATCTCCAGCGTACCCAGCTTTACATGTGCAATTGTGAGATCCATGCGTGTTACTGCACACAGCATTTACGTCACAGCCGTGAGAGTTTGTGGAGCATTCGTCGTTGTCTAAAACAGAGTCAAAAGAATAAATATCGAACTTAAGTGTTACTTTAGTACAGTTTTAACACTTTGTTGTTGTGTTGTTAACAATGGCCTCCGGGCAGCTATGTTTACCGCATAGAAATAGCTCGTTTTCATAAGAATTAATTTGAAATTCAGCTTACCTTGCGTCTGTTCTCTGATAGAGCTGCTGTTTCAGCCAATCAAAGCG